TTCCCTTCCCCGCACCCAGCTGCGAGCCCGGCCTGCCCCTGCACACCACGCGCCAGGGGCCGCGGCGGCCCCAGCTCTGAAGATTTATGAAAACAAAACAAAAGCTGAGCTGGGCAGGACTGAGCATCACGAGAGCCCGGCTGGGCCCCCGCTACATCACTGGGCTGGGGGCTCAGCCCCTGCCTGAACCCACCCTCTGGGTGCAGGGTGCCAGGAGTAGCACTCTCTGTGGGGCGTCAGAGGCACAGAGCACCCATGGGTGTCACTGGGTGCCTGCACTGGGGCAGGGACGCGCAGCCCCCCAGTGCCTGGGTGTCCCCGGCTCTTCCCTGCCTGAGGGGTTCCTGCTCTCCTGGCTCTCCTGGGAGTTGCAAAGCTGGGGGGCAGCCCGAGGAGCTGGGTGGCAGAGCTGGGTGCAAGCTCAGGAGCATGGGGGGCACTAGTGGCAGTGTGGGGCAGGCTGATCCCACTGCCAGGGCTGGGGGCACAGGCAGGATGGAGGAACCCGGGCTGTGGACCACCGTGGTGCCTTAGGCACAACCTGGGCACTTGCACCCCAGAAATGGGTTCACACCAGATAAACAGGGGCTGGGCTGAGCCAGGATGCAGGGGGGTCCTTGGGGTGCTGGTGCCCAGCTCTTCAGAGCAGGAGGGCAGGGTTCTCCCCTTGCCTCCCATTGCCCTGCTAGGGCTCCACCACAGTGCAGCCACCTCTGGGGTGCAGGTGGGTGCAGGGCAGAAAGTGAGCTGGATCCATGACACCCCAACTCTGCCAGGCTCGACTGGGCGGCCTGGGGGCTCTGCGAGCGTGGCCAGACACGACTGACCCGCACACGGGCAGCGGAGATGGGGGCTGGCTTCGGGCACATCACGTGGCAGTCCCTTACATAAGTCCCTGATAAACAACATGTGTTACCAGTTTCCGCAAAGATTGCAAAACACCGGCGCTGTGGGCAGAGGGCTGCTCCCCACCCTGGGGGCTGTGGGGTGGCCGGGGCACCGCGCCAGCCTGCTGCTGGGGTCTGCTCCCCATCCCTCCCAGAGCCCAGCCTGTTATCAGGGAACTGGCACCACTGGCCCAGAACACCCTGGCCCAAGCGCAGGGCAGGACAGCCCCAGCCAGGCCGGATGCGCAGGGGAGCGGGGTCCTGCAGCGTTAACCCTGGGGCTGCAGCCCCTCTGCCCTGGTTGCAGCCCCAGCCGAGCCCCTGCAGCCCCAGCACAGCGCACTTGGTGTGTGTGAAGGACGTCCCTGCCCGGCTCCCGGGGGGCTGGCTGTGCTGGCCGTGCGCGGGGAAGCCCTCTCAGGCAGGGCTCCAGCCCAGGCGGCAGCCCCAGGGCCAGGACAGCGGAATGGGGCGTTTCACTGCCTCAGAGGCCCTGGGGCCAGCAGGACCACTGCGGGGCCAAGGTCTCCTCCTCTGGGGTTCCTGAGGGATCTCCTGGCTTGTCCCAGAGGAAAGGCTGATCCTGCACCAGTCCTCAGGGTCCCCCAAGCCCATGTGGCCCCATGGCATGGTGCTTCGCCCCACACTGTGCTGGGTGCTTGGGGCTTGCTCTCACTCACCAGCCAGACTCACATGCGCTACAGCACCCGAGAGTAAATTGGGAACTGCCACAATTCCTGCCTCAGTGTCTCATGGCTGGGCAGAGGACAACAGGGCTGCATGGAGGGGGCTGCACAGCTCCCCGGCACCCCCCGGGCCAGGAGCACAGTGCCAGGACACCAGCAGCCACAGCTGGAGGCAGCACTGGCCTTGCTGGGGCAGATTGAGGGGTGACTTGCCTGGACACAGACCCTTCTCTGAGGCGTTTATTGGGGCTGCTGGCTGCTGCAGGGTACCGGGGTGCAGAGCAGAGGGGTCGCACGAAGCTGTGGGGGGATAGGACAAGGAGAGGAACAGCTGCCAGTGCAGCTGGAGGAGCCAGGAAGCCCCGGGACTGGCCCCAGGGCTGTGAGGCTGCAGCGGGGTCTGACCAAACACCGTCTCGGTCCTGCGTGGCCGTCTGGATGAGGAGGGGGCTGAGCTCTGGAGACCCTCCTGGCAACTTCGTCTGCACCTACGGCTT